GCCGCTCCGTGCCTCAGTTTCCCCAACTTTGCTTAGTGTTGTGGAAGTTCACAGCACGACTGTGTCCATGGGACTGAGTGTTCCTCTTGGAGGTCCCTGCATTACAGCCCCATTCTCCATCGAACTGCAGCTGGGGGGGTGTGGGGAGGGGGATCAGGCCTGACCCCCCGTCAGAGTGACGCTGCTCAGCCCCGTAACTGCAGCCTTTGCTCCACAGAACTTCCTCCGGTGCCAGAACAACAAAACCAACTACAACCTGGTGTGTGAGACGCTGCAGTTCCTTGACATCATGTGCGGCAGCACCACGGGGGGGCTGGGGCTGCTGGGGCTCTACATCAACGAGTACAACGTGGCCCTCATCACCCAGACCCTGGAGACCCTCACCGAGTACTGCCAAGGGCCCTGCCACGAGAACCAGGTCTGTGGGGATCCCTGCAGGTCCAGGTCATTCCCAGTGGGGCTGGGGGGGTTTCACCACTGGGCAGGGACCCCCAAGGGAGGATTTGGGGGGAAATGTGTGGGGAAGCAGCAGAGACAGGGTCAGCTTTGCGGTTCAGGTTATGAACAGGAGCAGAACGTGGGAAGCAGAGGATGCCAAGGCGCTGCATGCGTTACAAGCTGCTGCTTGGCCAGATAATGTGGGGACATAAACGGGGTTAAAGAATAAAGTGGTGCAAATGGTGGCCTTTTCAGGGAGGTTGGGGCTCCTGGGGTAATCAGGCAGGGTCAGTGCTGTAGGCAGGGACCTGGGCTGTGTTGGATGGAGGGTGAAGCCAGGAGGACTGGCAAGCATCCATGGGATGATACATTGCATTGCTCCCCCCCAGAGCTGCATCGTGACCCACGAGTCCAATGGGATCGACATCATCACAGCCCTCATCCTCAACGACATCAGCCCCCTCTGCAAGTACCGGATGGACCTGGTCCTGCAGCTGAAGGTGGGCAGAGCCTAGGGCTGGGATGGGGGGCACGTGTGTGGGCTTATGGCATGTCCATGGGGTGTGCTGTGGGGTGAGGTGGATGCTGTAGTGGGGACTGTGCATGTGTCAGGTCCTCGAGTGTGGGAGCACCTGGGCTTGGTGGGATGGGGCTGGTGCATCTCCACTGTGTGAGGCTCAGATGCCTCCAGCACGAGGGAGTTACAGCTGACGGTGGTAAAGGGGAAGTTCTGCCCACTCTGAAGGCCCAGGCAGAGGCAGGGCACAGCTCCCCTCAGCAAGGGCTTCTCCTCGCCAGGACAATGCCTCCAAGCTCCTCTTGGCCCTCATGGAGAGCAGACACGACAGTGAAAACGCCGAGCGGATCCTCATCAGCCTCCGCCCACAGGAACTGGTAAGGGCTGACAGTGAGACACCCCCACTGAGCCCCTCAGCTTCTCCCCTGGACCATTGCTCTTCTGCCTGTGGGTCCTGATGCAGTTTCTGGTTTGCAATCCAATAACCACCTCATCTTCCACACCGCTGGTCACCACCTCTGCGCAGGCATCCTTGCCCAATGGTCCTCCCAGAGCCATTTGTGGCCAGAGGAGGAAAAGGAAACAAGGAGATGGGGTGAAGCTCACTGTCCCTCTGCTGCCTTCCAGGTGGATGTGATTAAGAAGGCCTATCTGCAGGAGGAGGAGTGTGAAAACGCTGAGGTTTCCCCCCGGGAAGTTGGCCACAACATCTATATCCTGGCGCTGCAGGTACTGAGCTGTGACAGCAGGGTCCCTGCCAGGCTGGGCTCCCCATGCTGGGCTGGGCATGTTTTCTCTGTATTTATTTACATTTTCTCCAGCCAGGCTGGTCTCCCAGCTCCTGTGAAAAGCCACCCCCCGGGGTGTGCTGCCCCGTTCCCCTGGGCACCCCATGTCCCCTCCCCTGGGCACTGGTGGCTTCTCACCTGGGCTCACCCGGCCATCGCTGTCCCTCTTCCAGCTCTCCCGACACAACAAGTCTCTGCAGCAGCTCCTGAAGCCGGTGAAGCGAATCCAGGAGGAGGAGGAGGAGGGCATCTCATCCATGGTATGGAGGGACCTCAGGAATGGAGGCAGAGCCCCTTCAAGCCACCCTGACCCTGCCTGGAGACTCCAAAGAGTCTCCCACCCTTTCTGAGCCACCCTGGGGTTTGTTGTTTAAAATTTGATGAGTTTTGGTATTCCCCAGGGGGACTAAAGAAAGAAAGGCTTATAGTGCCTTTGTAGCCCAAACTACCAGCCCAAAGGCACGTGCACCTTCTCTAACCAAGCTGTGGGGAGCTGTATTTGTGGGGCTCCCCAAGGAAGGCTCAGCTGTAGGGTGACGTCCAGCTCACCGCAGGGACAGGCTGGTGGCCCTGAGGGAGGGAGGACATTCTCCCCTTCCCTTCAGCAAAGGAAGGGCTGAGTCCTTTGCTGTCATTTCTTGCCCACGTACCTGAGATCCCAAACAAGACTCAGCAGTAATGTGATTTCCCTGGGGTTTTATGGGCATTGATTTGTAATTTGTGGATTAGCAGCATTTGGATGTAATTATTGCAGGGAATTGAATGTCTGTCACCTCGGGGAGGGCTCAAACCCCTTTAGGAAGCTTGAATTCATTTGCTTTTCCCTGAAACCTCATCAGCTTCAGTAGATTTTGAGGCTGTTGTCAGTGCAGAGTTAGACCTGGCTGAGGCCGCTCTCGTCCCCTCTCCCAGCTCAGCCTCAACAACAAGCAGCTCACGCAGATGCTGAAGTCAACGGCCCCAGTCCAGGAAGAAGAGGAGGACCCGCTGGCCTATTACGAAAAACACACATCCCAAATTGAGGCAAGACCTGTTTGGCTGTTGGGTTTCCAGTGGACACGTGGCCGGTGAATCCCTCGTGTGCTCCGGTTGCCTCGTGCCCGGTTCTTTTGCATCAGGAGCCGTCCCATCCTTGCGCCGGCAAGAAGCAGAGGGGCCTTTTGCTCTGCAGAGAGCTGGGGGTGTTTGCAGAGCCCGTGGGGATCAGGGGGAACGAGCTGCCCCCCAGACCCATCCTTTCCCTCCCCGCAGCAGCAGGGAGGCAGCCCTTTCAGCAGCCTCATCCCTTCCAAGGGTTCATGCACTCACAGCTTTCCTGCAGCACAGCCAGGGCTGCCTCTGCTGGGTCCTTTTGTAGCGTTATAGACGAGTGACCGGTGGTGTTTGGATCCTGGTGGGGTGGGAGGGAGGAGGGGAAGGCACAGTTGGGTCTAGGAAAGAGGAAACCAAAGGCTGGCAAGGGTGGGATCTGACGGCCCCTTCCCCTTGGCCCTGCTTCCTGCAGATTGTGCGCCTGGACCGGAGCATGGAGCAGATAATCTTCCCGGTGCCTGGCATCTGCGAGTTCCTCACCAAGGAGACCAAGTACAGGCTCTTCACCACCACGGAGCAGGACGAGCAGGGCAGCAAAGTCAGTGATTTCTTCGACCAGTCGTCCTTCCTCCACAACGAGATGGAATGGCAGAAGAAACTGCGCAGTAAGAGCAAGCCAGACCTTCCCTTCGGGCTCCCCCCTGGCACTTCCAGTAGCCCCCCATTCCCCATGGGGGGCAGCCCTGCTTTGAAAGGGTTCCTGGCAGCAGCCTGGAGATCACATCTCTGAGCATCTTATGCCCCTTGCTCTGTGGAGCAGAGCACACTCGGCAGTTTGCAGGGAGTGGAGGTTACTCAAGATCCCAGGGATGTATTTCCTCCGTGCCTCTTAGTGCAGTTCCTCCATGGGCTGAAACGCATCTTGTGGCACGTTCCCTGGGGTTACACCTGCAGGTGTTTTCCCCTGGAAAGCCCTCTCTTCATTTGCTTTCAGTTGCCTTCTCCTAAGCCAGGATCTAGCAGCTACATATGGGAAAGAAAACTTGTTTCTCTGGGCCCTGCTGACCTGCTTAGGTGCTCTCAGGGCTGCATCAGGAAGGAAATCCTGGCTTAAAATAACAAGGAGCTGAATAGAGAGTCACACTATAAATGCTGCGATGCAGCTAAGGGGCAGTGTAGCAGCTCTGAAAACACTTGCAGATCCAGTCAAAACTATCTTAGGAATTCGGCAGGAAACAAGTTTCCAGTATGGATGGGAAATTGCTGGCTGGGTCTCCTCTGGGACCAGAACCAGCGCTGAAAACACAAAGATACTGTTGTTTTGAAGGATGCGGGGCTGTAGGAGGTGGGAGATGGGGAGGAGGAGGACGGAGCCAATCTGATTCCAAGGTGCCAGAGCAGGTCAAAGGGTTGAGAAGCCAAGAACTGTGAGCAGTGACATTTGGAACTTTGTGCTGCTATTTCAGCAGATGAGGAGGGAGCTTTTATTAGTGTTTTGAAGGAAGGTGGGAGGCAAGAGTCCCTCCGAGCTCACTGGCTGTACTGGGCTGAACCCTTTGGGTGTCTGGGAGAACAAAGCCTTCCCCGGTTGGCACAAGTTTGGCTGAGATTTGTGTGTCTGCCTCCTCTCCCTCCAGGCATGCCGCTGATGTACTGGTTCTCCCGCAGAATGACTCTCTGGGGAAGCATTTCCTTCAACCTGGCTGTCTTCATCAACATAATCATTGCTTTCTTCTACCCCTACGTTGAAGCCACTTCCATGGGTAAGTGGCCCAGCATCTGCTGCTCCTCAAGACCAAAGGAAAAAGGGACCCTCACCTTACCTGTATTCTCCCCACCATCAGTCTCCTTTTGACTCCTAAAGCCCCAAATCCTGTCTGCTGGTCGAAGGAAGGGATTGAGTCAAGATTTCAGTTGCCAGCCCTCCCTGTGCCTCCTTCTTAGGGAAAAGTCTCCTCTCCCTGGGCTGTGCTTTCCCTGCCTGTAAATGGGGGACAGCAGTGACAGCGTAGGGACCTGCTGTCAGGCAAAGCCTCCGTCACTTACAGTGGTTTTGAGATCTTGGATAAAAGGTGTTAGAAAAGCGTATCAGTAAGAGCCATCTTAGTCAATACTAGTCTTTGCAGTTCAGCATAATTTCTGTCTTTCTTCCCTCTGATAATCAGCACATTAGTTTTTCTGGGCAGCAGCCCAGTGCTGGATTGGCAGCACACGTTTAATCTCACGCCGTTTAATTGCTGTGGGTTCTTCTCTTCCCAGGAGTGCTGGATTCCCCCCTGATCTCCCTGCTCTTCTGGATTCTCATCTGCTTCTCCATCATGGCCTTGTTCACGAAGCGCTACGGTGTCAGACCGCTGCTGGTGGCGCTGATCTTGCGATCCATCTATTACTTGGGGATTGGACTCACTCTGAATATTCTGGGAGCTCTCAATGTAAGTTCTCTGTGTGCTGGAAAAATAGCACAGGAGGCCGTTCTGCTTTCAGAAAGTGCAGCAAAACCCTCTGCCTCCCATTTCTGGTTGCTCCTCAGCTGACCAACAAGATCGTGTTTGTGGTGAGCTTCGTGGGCAACCGTGGCACCTTCATCCGAGGCTACAAGGCCATGATCATGGATGTGGAGTTTCTTTACCATGTTGGCTACATCCTGACGAGCGTCCTGGGACTCTTTGTGCACGAACTCTTCTACAGCATCCTGGTACAGTAAATGCAGATGTTTTGGGGCACAGAGGTGGCCTGTCAGCCCTGTTAGATGCTGGAAGGTTCTTGTGACACCTTCCAGGGGCTGATTGATACCAGCAGAGAGAACAATTCGCTGTGCTCTAATCTTTGCGTAGGCTGATCTTTCTACCTTCCGACAGTATCTATTACTGTCTGTCTCCTGTTTTTTTTGCTATCTCTTTCTATTTAATCTCTACTGTGTACTTTATCTGGGTCAGCTGGGAGACAACGTGAGCTGGCGAGGGCAGAGGCAGGGTGCATGTGTCCTATTCCTGGCTCTCCTGCTGTGCATAAGTCACTTCATTCTTCTCTGCTTCCCTACAGTAAGCCGGAAAACTTAAATGCTTTATGTGAAAGTTAGTCAAGGTCTGCTGAGTGATCCAAGATCTCAGGATAAAAGGGGGTATAGGTAGGCCAGGCATTGTCAAGAAAAGCACCCCATGGCATTTCTCTGCTCTTGGGTCCTTTCAGCTCTTTGACTTGATCTACCGTGAGGAGACCTTGTTTAATGTCATCAAAAGCGTGACGCGGAACGGACGCTCCATCCTGCTGACAGCCCTCCTAGCCCTCATCCTCGTCTACCTCTTCTCCATCGTGGGCTTCCTGTTCCTGAAGGATGACTTCATCCTGGAGGTGGACCGGCTGCCGGACAGCAAAGCCAAAGGTTGGTCAGCCCCTGCCCTCGTTCGTTGCGTTTTTTTGGGGCTAGAGTGTGGGTCCCCTTCTGGACCATTGCATGAGATCCTGCTCCCTCCCCACTGCAAAAGCACACACGTGTCTGCGTGTGCATCATGGGTTTTATACCCCTGACACAAACTCCTGGTTTGGGGATTAGCAGAGAAGAAAACTCCCTGTGCCGACTTAAGGTCCTCATGCTGTTGCCCTCATTGGTTGCGTTTTTTGGGCTAGAGTGTGGGTCCCCTTCTGGACCATTGCATGAGATCCTGCTCCCTCCCCACTGCAAAAGCACACACGTGTCTGCGTGTGCATCATGGGTTTTATACCCCTGACACAAACTCCTGGTTTGGGGATTAGCAGAGAAGAAAACTCCCTGTGCCGACTTAAGGTCCTCATGCTGCTTGAGAGCAGGGTTTTGGGGCTGGGAGTGATGGCAGAGAAGGGGGTGGACAGCTACAAATGAAGCACGAGAGCAGGGTTTTGGGGCTGGAAGTGGCGGAGAAGGGGGTGGACAGCTACAAATGAAGTAAAAGTTTTAGATTTTAGAATGTAAAAATTTTAGACTGAATATTAAGAAAAATTTTTACACTGAAAGGGTTATTAAGCATTGGAACAGGCTGCCCAGGGAAGTGGTTGAGTCACCAATCCTGGTGGTATTTAAAAGATGAGTAGACAGTGCTCAAAGGTATGGTTTAGTGATGGGTTTTGTCTGTCTTGGGTTGATGGTTGAACTCGATGATCTAAAAGGTCCCTTCCAACCTTCACCAATCCCGGTGGTATTTAAAAGATGAGTAGACAGTGCTCAAAGGTATGGTTTAGTGATGGGTTTTGTCTGTCTTGGGTTGATGGTTGAACTCGATGATCTAAAAGGTCCCTTCCAACCTGGGCAGTTCTATGGTTCTATGAAGTTTTACATGAATTTTGGAGGTCTTAAACTTGAGCAAAAGATTCAAAGCCTAGAAAAGGCTAGGAGAGCAAAGCAACTTTTTTTTTTTTTTTTTTTTTTTAGCATTCAGGGTGCTTTTGGGTTTTGAATGCTTCCTTTTAGTAATAGCAAAAGAATTTTTTTTTTTTTTTTTTTTTTTTCAAGAAGCTTGAAAGCCACAAGAAGAGGCAGTTGAAAAGCACAAAGAGCTTTACTCAGGCAAACTGATGCTCTGACACGGCTGCGGTCTCTTTTACTTGCAGATGACCCCTTGGGGATGCAGAGGAACGTAGAGACCTTCATGGAGTCGTGCAGCAGTGACAAAATTAGCTGCTCTGCTGCGCCCACTGCCCTGGAAGGTAAGTGAGCTCATTAGAAAGGTGGACTTTGTTAGCAGCAGGGTAGGTTGGTTGCCTGGTTTCTCAGCGAGCTCAGATAAATCCTCACCTCTCAAAGCTGGAAACAAACAACCCACTTTCTGGCACACAATAGGCAAGAGACCTGCAAATTTTACGCTGACCATGGCCTAAAAAAAAAAAGTTGAAGTAGATTCAATTTAGTCATAAAGAAAGCGGGAGCTTCAGGAGCACTCAGCCAAACACCTCCACAGCCAGAGTCGAGCTGGAGGAGCTGCTGGTTGGAGACAGATACACAACGAGCATCTGCTCCCAGGGGATTTGCTACTGCTTGGTTGGAGATAGACAATGAGCATCTGCTCCCAGGGGATTTGCTACTGCAGCAGGAGTCATCCCCACAGCTCTGGGTTCTTGGTAACGGTCTGGTGTCTCTGCCCCATCTATGCTCTGGGTTTTTGCTTTTATTTCCCCCTAGAAACAGAGGCTGACCCATGGGAACGTGCCTGCGACACGCTGCTCATGTGCATCGTCACCGTCTTGAACCACGGCCTGAGGAACGGAGGGGGTGTGGGGGACATTCTGCGGAAGCCATCGAAGGACGTGAGTTTGGGCAGCAACGTGGGACCCCTTTCTTCTGCCAAGTCCTGCTGCATTTACCGCTGCGCAGCTGCCCCCCCTCCCTGGAAACCATGATCCTTCCAGCTCTATCCCCCACACTTTCCTCCAGTGCTTTTCTCCTCTCTTCCCCCATCACACCCTTTATTCCTCCTCACCTGGGACCCTCAGCCACGGGCACCGTTAGTGTGGCTGGAGGAGACACACACATTTATCCCTTTCATCCGTTACAGGAGTCCTTGTTTCCTGCTCGGGTTGTCTACGACCTCCTCTTCTTCTTTATTGTCATTATTATCGTTCTTAACCTCATCTTCGGGGTCATCATTGACACCTTCGCTGATCTGAGGAGCGAGAAGCAAAAGAAGGAAGAGATACTGAAGACGACCTGCTTCATCTGTGGTGAGTGCTGGGACCTGGCTGTGGAGGAATTGCCCCAAAGCTCTTCCTCTCTTAAGGTTGAGGGAAGGAAAGGAGTTTCAGCTGGTTTCTGGTTTTCATTGGGTTCACAGCAAAAAAAAACTGTTTCACTGATGGGTCACTGCTGTGTGAGGAGGCTTAAACAAGGACCTGAACTGAGAGGGGAGATTATCTGTATTGTTCCCCTTCTGTTAATGAGGTGTTAAACCCAACGCCACATCCTGGAGCTCTTGTGCATCCATCACTCCTGAGGGCATCACTCAGCCAGTGGAAAAAAAAAAAGCACTATATTACTAAGGAAATAAAATACAGAAAATGTTCTGGAATGCTTTCAGTCATCAGAAGGCATCCAAAAAACAGAAGGAAAAACCCAGTAAATCTTGCTGCTTTTTTCTTAAAAGATCCACTGGGTGCATTTTATGCTCTGAGATGCATAAGCAGGAAGCACAGCTCGTGGTACTTTAAATAGAACCTCCTGAACACACAACTGGGTTATTTTCCCCATCTGGGATGCTTGTCGTGTGCTAAATGCCAACTAATTATTAAAAGCACTTCTTGAAAGTTGCACCTGGGAGAGGATGCAATTATCTGCACTTCCTTTCACACGTGTTTGCTCACTCGCCTCTTCCCTTCTCTCTCCCCACGTCCCCGTCTCCTCCCTCCACCTTCTCCTCCATCACCTTTCCCAGGACTCGAGAGGGACAAGTTTGACAACAAGACGGTGTCCTTCGAGGAGCACATTAAATATGAGCACAACATGTGGAACTACCTGTACTTCATAGTGCTGGTGCGGGTGAAGAACAAGACGGACTACACGGGGCCGGAGAGCTACGTGGCACAGATGATAAAGGTACGTGTCCTCCCGGGGCAACTCTTCCACTATTGCAACCTCCCGGCCCTGGGGAAATATTTGAGAATAAAGGGCTTGACAATGAGAAACAGTTTGGAGAAGGAGCTTTTGGAAAATATTTAGTAACGTGGTGCCTCAGTTCGTTCTTAGCGGGTTGTTTCCACTGGGCAACCTCAGCCAGCAGCGCGCTATTTGATGTTCCGTGCTGCGGATTTAAGGATTGAACCAAGAGGAGGGAGTGTGACTTCAAGGTGATTTCAAGGCAAGAAGGGAGGGAAGGGAAATTTAGAAAAGAGAAACTTCTGAACTTGAGCCCAGAAAGCTGTAAGAAAAAAAAAAAAAGCTGGAAATGGACTATTTGTTTAAAATTTGCAGAGATACAGATGAGATTTTGGAACTTTCTTTAATCCCTAAGCATGGGCAGGTTTAGGGATTAAATCCTACCAGGTCTCTTCCCCACTCCTCGTCCCCTCTCCAACTCCCATTTTCCATGGTCGCCTTTCCAGAATAAGAACCTGGACTGGTTCCCCCGGATGCGAGCCATGTCGCTGGTCAGCAACGAAGGGGAAGGGGAACAGAACGAGATCCGAAATCTTCAAGACAAACTCAACACCACCATGAAGCTGGTGTCCCATCTCACCTCCCAGCTGAACGAGCTGAAGGAACAGGTACTTAACACTTTTAAAAATAGGAACACTTGAGGAACACCTGACTGTAGAAACCTGCTGTCCTTACCAAAATAGACACCCACTCCAAGAAACAGGAGGTGGAACCAGCCCAAGCCAGTACAACTTCAGATATGAAGCAAAGGGCTCCTGCAGCTCGTTTTTGGGGGGGGTCTGGGCACCTGGGACAAGTACTTTTTGATACTTTACTTCCTCATCAGGTAGAGTCCAACTCACAGGGTTTTCTGGCAGATGCTTAAAGCAGCCTGGTCAGTCAGACAGGGGAGGGGCACGGTGGTGAATTTAAAGGTGACCCGGTTTCCCACCTCACTGTGTCCTCGTTTGAACTCTAGATGACAGAGCAACGGAAGCGCAGACAAAGGATGGGGTTTGTGGATGTCCAGAACTCCATGAACCACTAAGATGGAGAAGAAGCATCAGCTTCACCCACCGAGGGACTACACGTACGTGTCAGCTAACGAGGCTGCTCACTCCTGGGTTCCACGCGTGGACATCACCCGCAGAGAACGACGGACCATGCGGAAGAGCTTCACAGTCACCATTTTCCCTAGAGCTTGTAAGCAATTCCGGACCCAGGGACTGGCCAGGGGATTCCTGGACCCACACCGTTACTCTAACGCCCTTGTAGGAAGATAAATTATACAGGACTTTTATTCCTCATTGCAATAACTCTTTATTTTGCAAATGTGGAGGGTGGTATCTGTATCTCCATGCACTACGTTGAGGTGTAGTGTAAGTAGCTGTAGGGCTGCAGTATTTAACTTATTCCATGTGGCTCTTTGCAAACCAGCCACCGTATCTGCTGTACCTGCCCCGTTGCTCACCCCTCTCCATTTAAAGAGTTCTGTCCATCGCTGAGGTGCAGAAAAGAGGAGCTAAACTCAAGGAGGTGGATTTAATTGAACTCACCAGATGAGGGTGAGCATCCCAGCTCGTACTGGTGGGAACTAGTCTTTTGCCTTCTGTGGCCCGAGGCTGCCCGGGCAGGAGTAGTAGGAGTCTGGAGGTTTACAGGAGTTCACTGTGAAGGGGTGTCCTGTGTTTTAGTTTCATCTCTGGTGTAATGTTTTACTTTTTTTTTGTGTGTGTATGTTTGTTATTGTTGTTACTTAAGAACTAAAATGTAAATTGCCTTAACTAAATTAAATACAAAATCATGTTACAATAAAAACTTAAACATGGTAGAGGAAGTGCCCTTCCTGTGCACTCGGGTATGTCATGGGGTGGTTATAAATAGAAATAAAGAACAAGCCAAAGACCCAGGGTGCTCCACAACCCAAAGCTCTCAGCTCCAGCTGTTAAATGTTAAAATACAGTATGATGCTCCAGTCACAAGCTGAAGAATGCTGCCATGAAAATTACCTTGAACACCAGCCTTGTTTTCTGAAGCTTTGGATTAGAGCCTGCTGCGAAAGTTTCAAATTCTTTCAGCACTTGCCAGGAAAACACTGCTGGAACACACGAAAAGCAGCAGCTGGTGGTGGTGCCGGGAGCCAGGCAGGGCCCTGGCAGAGCTGTGCTCCAGACACTCAGCCTTCCTGCGGCCACCCCAGCTGCAGTCCTGTGCCTCTGCCTCCCCAGAATAGACACTGATGCAAGCATTAAAGATTTAAAAAGCAATAAAAATAGGCCCCAGCAACGGACTAATCACATTTGAAATGTGTTTATGGCCCTATATACCAACATGTCATTAAAACCTATCTTTATCGCTCAGATACGCAGCAGCCCTTACGGAACCATCTCTTCCCACTGAGGGAAATCTGCAGAGATTGAAATCTCAATTAAACTCTTACACTGCTCCACTGTCACCACCATAAACAGTCACCCTGGGTCCTCTCCTTCTCAAAAGGAAAACAAGCGTGACAATCAAAGTTATCCCTCCCTCAGCTTCCCTGTTACCAGAGACAGTTACACAGGAACACAATCACACCCCCACGTTTTCACATCACCACTATTGTTATCCTCACAAGCACATTTAAAGCTAACACAGTTGCACCCACTTGCTCTGCACATCTCCTGGTTGTTCCATTTTTCATCATAACCCAAAGGATCTGGTCTAACACCACAAAGTTCTTTCCTCTCCACAACATTGCTCCAATACGGTTTGAGCACAGATGTGTTAAGTTATGTCCTAGATTTCCGCAAAAAATAAAAGAGGGCACTAAAAATGAAGGGAGTATGGCTTAGGGCTGAACAAAAATGCTGTTGCTAAGAGGAATAAATGGTTTTATTCATCATGGCAACATACAGAACTCTAGGAATATATACAGTGGAGAATCTGGGAGTTAGCCTATCACTTTGAGTCCTCTTCGGGTTTCTTGGCATAAAACTTTTCTCGCAGTTTCTTCCATGTCCCTTTTTTCATGTCTTCCATCTGTTTCAGAATGTCTGCAAAAGGAGAAGAGAGAGAGATGGGGAAAGAGGAAGAAAAGCAGAAAAGCAAGGGAATGAAAGCCCTCTTATAAAAGCTTTGCCTTACATATATTTTTCTCTTTTTTTTTTTTTTTTTTTTTGACTTTTCATCTTAATGAATCTCTATTTCAGGGCCTGAGGCAAGTTTGTTTTCCCTTCCAATCAGTTGTGCGGGGAGTCCCTTATCACTAACAACTAATACTCAGTTTCCACGCGCTGCAATCAAAGTCAGGAACTGGAGCAGAACAAAACTGCACTAGCTTCCTACATGGCACTTTATAAATGCTCTGGCTGTGAGTATTTCTGCATCTTGGTACCCTGTTTTATCTCAAAGTAGAAATACTGAAGGGAATTTGACCACAGCAAAACAGAACCTGAGAATTTTTTGAACGATGTAGCAAACATGCATTTCTTTTGCATATCTCCTACTGTCTGATCTCAGAGAGCCCTTGCAAACCCTCTCCTCTTCCAATCGACTTTCCCCCCGATAGATTACTGAAGATCACAGAATCATAGAACTGTCCAGGTTGGAAGGGACCTTTAAAATCATCTAGTCCAACCATCAACCTAAGTCTGATAAAAAAACATCACTAAACCATGTCACCAAGCACTATGTCAACCCGTCTGTTAAATATCTCCAGGGATGGTGCCTCAACCCCTTCCCTGGGCAGCCCATTCCAAGGCTTAATAACCCTTTCAGTGTAAAAATTGTTCCTAATATCCAATCTGAACCTCCCCTGGCGCAACTTGAGGCCATTTCCTCTGTCCTATCGCCTATAACTTGGGAGAAGAGACCGACCCCTGCCTCATTAAGATCTCCTAAATTATTCCAGTACTCCTCATTAAACATCCTAATATACTTGCCCAGCAGTTCTACTCTGTCCTCTAGTCCCTGGTGTTTAGTAGAACTGTTGCAGTGAGCACCACAAAGATGAGAATGTACTTTATCTCCTGCACTGTCTTGTTCTGAAACCGAGCACAGTGTTAGTACCTGTTGCAAGTATCATCCTGCAATCTTCTACTGTCACTCCAGTGAAGCTTGTGTCCTTCAGGCGTGGATACTTCATAAACGGGCAAGTAGGTGAGAGAAGGAGAGAGAGAAAAAGATGTTACTTGTAGTGACCATACAGGAGACTCTGAGCTCATTTTCAGTCAAACTCTAAGAATTCTCAACTATCATCTACATTGGTTGTATACGTCACAGAGACCAAGACGTCTGCAGCTTCCCCAGAGTGACCAAGGTAATGCTGCATCCACCGACCACTTGTTTTTCCATTAGACATTCCCAAAAGCCCTGCTGGGACAAGGCAGCCAAGTGCCGTAGGGGGGAACTCACCCCCTACAAGAGGGATGCTGGCTAATGCCAAAGCTCACCTTGTTTTTGTAGTAGTTGGTGTGGATTCTGACCAAGCTCTCGTACATTCGGTCACAGGTCTCAGGGTCAGAGATCTGGAAAGGAATAAAAGTATCAGACAAATCTGAATTGAAACCTCCTCATTTCAAGGTTTTGAGAAGGACAGTCAAGGAGCAGCTTAGGCGACTTCTCGGCGCAATGCAGGATGCTGCTGACCCCTGATATGCAGCTCCAGAATGCAGATCACTTTCTTTCCCCTCCATTTCTCACCAGCTTGGCCTCCAAGAATAACAAGGCATGTGATTTCCAGAACGGACCTTCAACTCTGCTCAAAAAGATTTGCCAGATCAACTGTGAATACCCTGTTAATGAGATCATTGCTGGACAGTTTTCTTCTCACGTTTATTGGCCGCTGCTGTAAAATCTCTGAGACTTTGCTCAGAGGCCAGTTTTGCCGCTTGTTTTATTCTAAAGCATCAAATAGGATCATGTACTAGGACGGAATTTAGAAAATCCCGGTGCAGGCTAAAAATAGTTTATAATTGGTTAGGGAAAAGCAGCATGAAAGACACTGAACAGCTTGTGAAGGGTAAATGGATTTCTATTTTGGTCAAGTAAGTTGGAAAGATTTTGCTAATACCTAAACCTCTGCGAGGTGCCTCAGGCAGGTGCCTCTGCCTGGCAGAGACATCTATTTTGCTGTGGACGGCACGTCAGCTTGTTTTGCTGTTTTACAATGGGGGCCAACTCGACCAGAGCTCTCCATCGCTGCTCCACGACATCAAACATAAATGAGTAAAACGGATCCCTGAATAAGAACAGCACCAACAGAAACATGTCAGGATAAAGTGCCATGGCTCATCTGTCCTTGGGACGATGGCACAGGTTCAGCCTCCTCTGCGCAAACTAGGAAAGCTGAGGAAAAGCTCTCCTTGTTCAGGCGGTAACGGCTGCTGCAGGAGAGAGGGCCCAGGGACAGACTGTCAGGAGTAAGCACCATCACTCTGCAGGTGATCTGCAGCTTAACGCATCCCGCAGCCACGTTTCAAACAACCCTGCTAATGTTTTAGTAATGACAGCAGAAATAGCTATTAAATGGGTAGCAGAAATAGTATCCCTCACCCTGTAAAATCAGCAAATCTTATTCCACATGAATAAAACAGGCATTAGCCTCATAAAGTATCCTTTATGGTTCTAGTTCTTTTCTCAGACATTCCTCCTGCTGTCTGCCAGAACATTTCCCTTTGCTGTATGAAGCCCTTATACATACAAATTGACATCAGTGCTGCAGGCATCAATTTAGATTTTCAAGATGAGTGGCAGCTTTGGGATCTTGTAGCCAATTGCTGCAACAAATTCAGCTGTCCTGAGCACATGAAAAAGCAATAAGCACTTTCCGAAATGTCTGCTGCAGACTATTCTGGTGACCAATATAGAATTAGGTGCCTATAACGGCCCCTTGAAGTAGAAAATGCTTATCTGGAACAATGTTTTTATGCTAAGAAAGGGCACATTTCTATTCCACAGCACCACCTCCAAGCCTGTAAAGGTCTGCAGCTCAAGTCAAGCTTCTCTAATTTATTTCAGCACGAAAGCCTAAACTCCAACAGAATGACAACTGCAGCTGGAATCGTTTCATAACTGCTATATCCTAACAGTGCATTGCAGTACGTGCTCCACACTGCACCGGAGCGTCATCCTATCATCACGTTAAGCAAAACACACTAATTAGCTGGATTCCAGCACAGCGCTGATAAGTTCACAGTGTTTCGTACCCCACTTCCATAACCACGGGAAGGGGGATCCCCAAAGCACACAGGGTAAATGGTGCAAGAATTTGGCGTGCGTCACAGCTTGTTCTGTGTGAGGAACACGGCAGGGCTGTGGGGCCTGTGTTTTAAAGGCCTGAGCCCTGAGGAGAACGGAGGGAGGCCGGGGGGGTGGCCGTGAGGAGACCCGAGGGAGGCCCCTTTTGTAGCCCCAGGTTTCTCCAAACTCCGGAAAAAAACCCAACCGTGTCAGCACCAAACCCAAAAGGCCAGAGCGTCCTCAAACCGACCGTTAAACGACCAGGAGGGACGAGGCGCCTGCGCGGCCCAGGCTCCGCCTCGCCCCCCCCCCCCCCCCCCCCCCCCCCCCCCCCCCCCCCCGCGCGCCGCCATTTTGTCTCCTCCTCCAGACACTCTCCGAACCCCCTTCGGCCGGGCCCGGGGCCTGGCACCGACCTCACCCGCCTCCCCCCGGGTCCACAACCACCCCCCTCAGCTTCCGCTCCCCTCACGCTGCCGCCCCCGCTGCCCAGGGCCGCTCCGGGCGTGCGGAACCCAC